GTTAGTCTTCCTTGAAAAAATGTCTACTCAAGTCTTCTGCCCATATTTTAATTGGATTATTTTTTCTGCTATTGAGTATGGGTTCCTTATATATCTGGATATTAACCCCTTATCAGATGTATGGTTTGCAAATATTTTTTTTCCATTCTGTCCTTTTCTTCTTCATTTTGTTGATTGTTTTGTTTGCTGTGAAGAAGATTTTTAATTTCATGCAGCCCCAGTTATTTATTTTTCCTTTTATGGCTTGTGCTTTTGGTGTCATATCCAAAGGCCATTGCCAAGGCCACTGTCAAGGAAATTTATTCCTATGTTTTCTTCTAGGACTTTTATGGCTTCGGGTCTTACTTTGAAACCTTTAATCTACTTCAAGTGTATATTTGGGAGTGGTGTAAGATAAGGGTCTAGTTTCATTGCTTTGCATATGGATATCCAGTTTTCCCAGCACCATTTATTGAAGAGACTATCCTTTCCCCATGGAGTATTCTTGACTCTCTTGTCAAATATTAGTTGACCATCTACACATGGGTTTATTTCTGGGCTCTCAATTCAGTTCTATTGGTCTATTTTGTCTGTTTTTTAGAGCAGTATTGTATCTTTTTGATTAATATAGCTTTGGAATATAGGACATATCATGCCTCCATCTTTGTTTTACTTTCTCAAGATTTCCTTGGCTATCAGGGTTTTTTTGATGGTACCATATGAATTTTAGGATTGTCTTTTCCAATATGCTCCATCTACACATGTCTTTCTAGTCTTCAAATAAACGAAGCCAGGAAGAGGAACGTCTTTTTCATTCTCACCATTCAGATGTCAGATCAAAAGCTAATCCTCCTGGGAAAACCTCTCCTGTCCATTTTATCAACTCCATCATCCAGGCCTTTCCTGGCCCATGACTGTATTATTTTGTTCTAAACACCTGCCACTTACTGAAGTGATTTTATTCATCTATTCTTGTATTGCCACATTTTCTTTATTGAATGTAACTGCGGTAAGAATATGAAACATTTCTGCTGTTTTTACTGTCCTATTATTAGTACAAAGAAAAATGCCTGGCGAATAGAAGAAATTTAGTAAATCTTTGTTGAAGACCCATATAAAGGAGTAAGTGAAGACACAGGTGTATTGCGAACTTATTTTGTCTGTCCCCCTGTTGTTTCAGTTTGCCATTTACCAAAGATCTTTGTGAAGCATAAATTAGCAAGGCCAAGAACTCCCAAGAGAAGGAGGGGTGTTGTGGACACTCAGGCTGTAGGTGAAGGGGGGCGTTGGGCGTGGAGCCACTGAGCGGGGCCTGCGCCCCTTCTCTCCGAGTAGCAGCGCTCCCTCCAGAGCGCCTCTGTTCTCACGCTGAGAGCGACTCGGCCGCGGACTAATGATCTCGCCGGCTCTTTCTCCGCAGCAAGAAGTGGTTTGGGCGCTTCTGAAGCCCACTGTGCGAATCTCTTAGGCATTTGCAGAAGAGATGTCTGCAAAATAATAGAGGACATAATCGGTGGCTGCCGAAGACGGTGGAAGTGCTGCCGAGCATGGTGGATCCTGATTCCAGTCCCCACACCAGTCGTGTATTCGGAATACCAAGACCCCATTAAGCCGAGGATAAAGTGAAATGAGGGAAACAGAGCAGCCAAAGGAAAATTCTTTGCATCTAAAAACATTAAAATATATATCTCGATTTAGCCCAACTTTATTACCCACTTTTATTTTCCTGTGTCAATAAAAATAAATAAATAGTGATTTAAAATCTACCCAGATGCTACTTCTTTGGACTCATTTTCAGATCCAAACAATGTCTTTAAAAGTGAGAAAGTCTATTTATTTAACAATACTTTTTTTTTTTTTAAATTGTCACAGAAAGACCAAAGGATTAACAAAAATACTACAAAGGTGAAAATATAATTATACAAAACATAATTAAATAGACACACAGAGAAAAGGCAAAGGTAAAATACAGAGAAAATCCAGAAAATGTCCAGAAAGGGAAGAGATGTATATAATGAAAAGCGGAGAAAATGGAAAGAGGGCAAGAGGAATAATTTGGGATAATTCATAAAGATGGTAACTGTAGAGCAGATACCCAGAAAGAGATGCAAACAAGCATAGAGAGAGCATGAGAGGTTGGAGATCAACAGAAATGTATATTAAGTACTCTAACAGGGAAAACTTCAACTAATAAGGAGATTCTGATGTCACTCCTATGGAGAAACGTTATGATCATTTAGATTCCTAATGTTTTACTCTCCTAGACACATAATTCTGCCACAGAGCTGGAATTTCCCTGTAGCCCTGTGCTGACCCTCTTTGAAGAGCAGGCTGTTGGTACTCCTGTTAAGTAGTTGTTTGGATGCTTCATAACTTCTGACTTCAAGTTCATTTTCCTTCGTGTTTGAGGTCCTCAGTTTCCTTTCCTGATGTCATGTCCCTTAAAGGAGATCTTAAGAGTTTTATTTTCACTCATGTACTAAATCTTGATGATTAGAAAAACGTGGTGAGGACTACCATTTTTTCTTCCTCTAATGCAATCTTTGTTTTTTTAATTCTCAGAGTGTAGACATTTAACATGTAATTTGATACAGTCTTGACAAGGTTTAGGGCAAAATTGGCCTTAAAATAGTCGAGCCAGGCCATAGGTCAGGAGCAAAGTGCATAAATGGTGAGAGAGACCCTTTGCCCTCTCCCCTCTCTGGGGATATCTGGGACTATTTGTTTTATCGATAACTTCTTGAGTAAGCTTTGGTGGTTCTGGAATTTCAAAAAAATTTGTCTACTTTAAATAAGGTGTATTCGTTGTCATAAAATGTTTAGGAATGCTTTTGAAGTTGCATTCTATCAGTTTAAATAAAGTGCTATACTTTTAATATATTTTATGTAAGTCTTATGGTAACCCCAGGGAGACACCTGTAGTAATTACACAATAGAGCATGACATGAAGGCCTACTGATACTAAAAGCCATGACATTATAAAAGAAGACAGCAAGGTAATAAGGTAAGAATAATGGATCTACAAAATCGTCAGAAAATCAACAAAATGGCAATAGTAAGTTCTTAAGTATCAATAATTATTTTCACATAAATTGATTAAATTTTGCAATCAAAATATACAGAATGGTTGAATGAATTTAAAAAACAAAATCCAACAATCTGCTGCCTACGAAAGACTCCCTTTGGCTTTAAAGACACACGTAGACTCTGTAGTGAATTAACGAAAAAAGATACTTCAAGCAAGTGGTAACCAAAATAAACAAGTGTAGCCATTATTATTATTTTAATTTTAGATATTTTTATTGATTTTTAGAGATAGAGGAAAGGAGAGGGAGAGAGAGAGAAAGAAACATTGATTGGCTTCCTCCTGTAGGCCCCTACCAGGGAATGAGCCCCAAACCTGGGCGTGTGCCATGACGGGGAACCGAAGCAGCAACCCCTCAGTGCACGGGACCATGCTCCAACCAACGAAGCCACAGTGGCCAGGGCTAGCTATTCTTTATATCAGACAAAATAAACTTTAAACTAAAAGTGGTAAAAAGAGACAAAGGAAGTCTTATATAATGATAAAGGAATTAATCCATCAATAAGGTATAAAAATTGTAAATATCTAAGTACCCAAGGTCAGAGTACGTTCATATATAAATAAAAAACTCACAGGGCTAACAGCAATGATAAACAGCAACCAGCAGTGATTTGGATCTTTCATGCCCTACTGGTAACACAGTCTAGACAGGGAATTCATGTGAAAGCAGCAGATGTGACTAACACTATGGACCCGAGGAACCTAACAGATATATTTAGGACATTCTGACAACAGCAGAATACACATTCTTCTCAAGTACACATGAAATGTTTTCTAGTAGAGACCATATTTTAGGCCATAGAAAAAAAGTATTTGCAAATGTAAGAGGATTACAATCATATCAAGTATCTTATTTGACCACAATGGTATGTAACTAGGAATCAACAACAGAAGGAATTCTGGAAAACTCATGAGTATGTAACAATTATGTAATACTCTCCTGAACAGCCAATGGATCAAAGAAGAAATTCTTTGGCAAACATCAAAATGACAACAAGTCATCAAAATAGAAGACATAAAAGTATATACATTTTTTCCAAAAACAAAGCTGACACCACATATGAAAGTTTATAAATTAAAAAAAATATATATATATATGAATGTGCCATTAAGCCACTGATCAGTAGGAAAATTAGCATTGATTACTTGGTTTTAGGTCAATCGATTGCTAGTCAAAGGCATTTCTTAAGCTTTCAATACTTTACTCCTATACTTTGGGGTGAGGATAGGGAGTCTCTTTAAGTTGTAGACATACAGTCATTTTTAAAAAAAATCTGTTTTTAAATTACAGTTGACTAGACATATGGTCTTGACAACAGATGGCTATTGAGGAAATATTGAGCTCCTTAGCTCCGATGTTTTAACCCTCCCAACGTCACCATCCTTGTCATGCAGGACAAAGGATTGATGACAGGTAAAAAATGTTAGTTTTCCACATGAACTAAGTGTATTTACCTTTCAGATGCTATTAAGAACATTGTACATGTGTGACACTAACCTCTCTTTTAAGAAATAATTTAGAAATTGAGTTTCGTTTTGGAAAAAAAGAAGATCCTTGGGCAATTCTCTTATCTGTATTGTGGAAAAGAGTGTCTTGTGGAAGAGTCTCCTTGTAAGTCAGAGGGCTTTTGGTAAGAAGGAAACCACATTCTCAACCCTACTTCCTTCAAAAGACAACTGGCCAAAGGCACTGGCCTCTGCGAAACTGGAGAGTCCACAGAAAAAGTGAAGGATTGGCCATCTGGTTTCCTGTAATTAGGTTAATTTGTCACCAAATTTAGAGACTCCATGGTCTGGAGATATGCCAACGGAAGCTGTTTCATTTTTTTACTTGTTAAGCTTCACTGACCAAGAGGAATGTCAGTCCCCCAGAAATTCATAAAAGGCTCCGTGTTCCACCAGCCGTGATCACTCACCTCTCACCGGGCAGCCGACCATGAGACTCCAGCCCCTCCTTTCTGTGCTCCTCCTCTTTGTGACCATAGTACCAAAAGGTAAGACGGTGAATAATTATAGAGCTGGGTTTCTCAGGAGGCCCTCGGGCACGCCCAGTTCCCCAGTGGCCGTCGTCACTGTCACTCAGACCCTCTTGCACGGGCTTTAGCCATTCGGAATTCCAACAGGCTCGCCTGCCTTCGAACCGATGAGGACAACCCTGCAAAGCGGGACAAAGGTTTCCGTCGACAGAAAACCAGGTCCAAGAGTTCCGTGATTAGAAAATTCGGCCCATGTAGGGAGAGAGGGAGAGAAGCTTGAACATGGGACTTGAGGATTAGCACACAAATTCAGTAGCTGTTACCAGGGCCCCATCTCGCAAAAGGAGAGTGAAAATGAGCTTGGTTTGGCCTCGGTGAGTGAATGGAAGTGGGAGAGTCTGTCGGTGAGGAATGTTTGTGAACGGGAAAAGTTAGGTGCCCAAGAGAGAGCTCAACAAGAGAGGGTCGCACCCATTTGTGAAGGACCAGTAGAGAGCAGGGGAGTCTGGAAAAAGCATGAACAGAGGGATAAAGCTTCGATGGCCAACTTTTAAGCAAAAGACAAAACATGAAAGAGGCACTTTAAGAATCTGAGTTACATCCTTAAGACCCATGGTTTGGAAGTTTGAATATTAACATGTAGAATCAAATAAAAAAGGGAAGGGGGTCACCTTCAGGCTAGTTCACCCAGCTTTTTGTAAGAACTGACAACATCCGTTTCTCCACTGTTAGTGACAGAATGTTCAGGTCCCTCAAAATAAGGTCTGTGTCCACTGAGCATAGATATATAGTCTGGATAACTCTCTCTCTTCCTTGGTTCATCTCTACGATTCCTTTCATTGCAATCAAAGCGCTCATTTGTTTGATCTTTGCCTTTTACGAAATGATGCCAAAGTGAAAAGCATATGGCACCAATGCTGAGTGGGTGTGGGGCATTTCAAGGACACAGAGGGCGAGGCAGCCAGACTTTACTGTGTGCGGGTGACACTAATTACTGGGCTAGGTGACGCATACGTCTCAGTTTACACACACAAACTAGGACCACCTGGGGGTTCCAGGCAGCCCACACGCCTGGCAGGGGGTGTCCTGACGGGCCTTGCCCTTCGTTTCACTGCTTCCAGCACTCTCTCCTCAGTCTCTCCTCCTGCTTCCACCACAGAAGGAGTTTCAGGTTTTCAGTGTCCTCCTTACTTCCTAATCTTGAGATAATCATCTTTTGAGGTCAACACATGGAATTCATCCCGAGGGGCCACCAGCAACCGTGTGAAAGTAGAGAAAGGGTATAAAGGACAATCATGAGGGGTCAGGAGGTCAGAATTCCTCCCTGTTAATCCCATGATCTGAAGGTAGATAAGCCAGCTCCGGCTCTGCGCGGATTCTCTGGGCCGTGATCGAGCCTGGGCTTGAAAGCGTCCACCATCCTGGCCTCTGCTGTCCTTTGTGCCTCCAGCCTTCCCTGGAAGAGGCCCCTTCTCTCTTCTCCCAAAGTAAGTTCCTCCTCTCGGCGCCGAGGTCCAGGCTCCATGAAAGCAGGTCCCAGCGCACACACAGAGCAGCAGGGGCCGTGCAGCCAGCGTGCCGCCGAGGACGTGGAGACGCGCAGTTCACGGGCAGAAACCGCCCGGGCCAGTGACAGCAGGCGGGAGGCTGGTGGGCAGGATGCATGACCCTGGGAATCCGGGGACAGGATGTGAAGTGAACTAAGCCAGTCACAGAGGAGAAATGCTTCAGGGTCTCACTGACGTGAGGAATCTAAAATAGTCAAATGCACAGAAACGCAGAGTAGAATGGGGGTTGCCAG